GGCCCGGCCTGGCCGCCAGCCCTGCCTCTGCCCACTGCCCCTTCCTGGAGGCACCCAGTGGCCGTGGCCTGGCAGCACCCCCTGCCCTCCATGTCCCCAGACAGCCCAGCCTGGGCACACCTCGGGCTGTCCCCACCCTCCTGCAGGGCTACTGTCCCAGCCCCGAGGCCTTCGGCTGCAGGCCTAGCAGACATTCTGGGGAAGCGCCAGATGAGCCGGGTGTCAGGAACACGGCGGTTGCCCCCGCAGGGGCTGCTTATGGCCTCTGACACCCAGTTCCTCAGGTCTTCCCACCACCCCGGCCCCTCAGGGGCCTCCTGTCCCCTTTGGAGCCTCCAGCCTCCACACATCCCCCTCACGCCTTCCCACGGCCTTGTCCCGTCAGGGCCTCCACGCTCCCTCATCCATTTACAGCCTCCCAGTGCCCTGTTCCCTCAGCGTCTCCCCCGGCGTGGCCCGGCAGCAGCGCCGCAGCCCCACAGGAGCTCCAGAGGAGCTGCATCAAGAGGCACCTGGGAGCCCTCAGCAACCCAGCCAGCACAACACGGGCACGAGGACACAGATGGCGCTTCCTGGCTGGGACAGGGCTTGTGCCTTCAGCAGAACTGCCAAAGGCCAAGGGCTTCTGGCCATTTTCCCTGCACCGCTGCACGCCTGGGCAGCTTGCCGAGCACAAGCACCCTTTTCACCCTCTTCCCCTATGCCCTGTGCACCACGCGCAGCGAAAGAAAGGTCTTGGGAGACTGCCTATTATAACATATGCTATATTTACATACATAAAGAAAACAAAAAGAAGAAAGGAACGATGCTACGGAAAAGGAAAATCGCTGCTCTCTCAGGCGGGCCCAGCAGACACAGCCTGCCAGATCAGTTGCCAGCAGAGCTACAGCAGCGCAGCCAGCGGAGACCCAACAGACGAGGCCGTGTCCTCCATGCCCTGCGCAGCTGACCTTGCAGGTTTTCAAAGATGGAATACCGAGCCCTTTCTATTGCCTGGACAATGTACTGTGTTTGAACTGCCAGGTTTCCGATGGCAGGGCTGCTGTCATCCACCATGTTCTCAAGGGCTGGAAGAGAGACGAACAGAGCCACGGGCAGATCCCAGACCTGCCCGGGCCCACGGAGAGCCCCCTGCCAGGGCCATCCCAGCCGGCTCTTGCCATGGGCAGCAGGGAGCAGGGATCAACCCGAAGCTGCTGGCCACGAATGCCCCACGTGCCCCAGAAGTCTCGGTGGGCTCTGCCCACGCTGCCCCTCATCTGCACATTGAGCAGAGCCCTCCGCAGCCTGGCCAGGGATTGCAGCCAGGCCCCCCTGACAAACCCCCCGCCAACCCCGCTGACAGCCCGCTGCCCTCACTCACATTTGTAAATGAGCTGCAGCTCTTTCTTCTGCCCCCTCAGGAGCCGCCCGGCAATCCCTGGGAACACAGAGCCTGTCAGGGCCCCGGCAGCACAGCTCCCTGCCAGCGGCGCTGCCAGCCCTGGGGCCACAAGCCCTCCCGCCCCGGCAGGGCTCAGCCCCAGCCCTTGCCGCATCCTGACTCAGCCCAAGGGCACGGCTGCCAGAGGCCGGCAGCAGCCCCGAGGGCAGCCGGGGCTCCAGGACGCCGGGCCCGGGTGCCGCTGCCGGGACAGCAGCAGCTGGGGCCGGGTCCGAGCTGCGACGGGGCGGGAGGGAGCCCGGGCTCGTGGCTCACCCATGAACCTGATGGCCGCTGCTCGCAGGGGCTCCTGTGGGTTCTGCAGGTACGGCAGGGCCTGGTGCAGGTACTCGGCCGCTCGGCTCTCGTCCTGTGCCAGCTGCAGAGAGCGGCAGGAGGGAAGGGTCGGTGCGGGCTCTGCCCCTTGGCCGGGCGCTGCCTGCAGCCAGCCCGGGCCTCCCGTGCCTGCCCAGGTCTGAGCCACCGGGCAGCAGCCGCTGGCGCCGGGCTCTGGAGCACCGGGCAGCAGCCGCTGGCGCCGGGCTCTGGAGGGGGCAGAGGGCCGGCTGCTGCCCGGGGAGCCACGGTGCCGGCCCGCCCTGCAGCCCCAGTGACTCGGGGCTCCATCAGCAGCCGGCTCAGGGCCACAGGAGCCTGGAGAAGAAGCCATGTGGCCCCGGCTGCGGCACTGGACAGGGGCCCAGCTGCCAGCCCCATGCACCGAGCGCCGGGGACAGGGGGCTTCTCCAGGCTGAGGCTGGGCCTTCCAGGCCGTCCTTACCAGGACCTCAGCGAACTTCCACAGTTGCTTATCCTTCACAGGATTTGCAAGATCTCTCGTCTCCAGGAACTTGGCCATGCTAAGCAGTGCTCTGTGAGAGGCCTGGAGAGCAGCAGAGACCCGCAGATGGCCCCACAAGCCAGGGCACAGGAGCCGCATTCGTGGGCCAAGGCCTGCAGGAGGCTGCAGCCGGCAAGGTGCCAGGCCTGCTGGAGGCAGCCGAGCCCCCTCCCCGGGTGACAGCAGCAGCCCGGGAGTCCTCACCTCAGCCACCTGCTGGTTCTCATCATGGCAGTGGAAGAAGGGTGACAGCAGGCTCTGGTGCACGTGTGACTTCAAGGAATCTTTTTCCTTTTCAACGCGAACAGTCACCGATGTTCGGAAGAGCAAGATGGACACCAGCTGCACCTGGCTATTATCCTATATGAAAGGAGGAGAAAAAAACCTCAGCCCTGTCGGCACGGAGCTCAGCAGAGCACAGGCCTGCAAATCCCCAGGGCACCAAGTGTCCAGGCAGCAGCCAGTGGCCTCGGCTGGGGGCACAGAGCCTTACATAGTCAAAGAATGGCAGGAGCGCCTCAGCCAGCTGCAGGGCAATGGGGCTGGGTATCAGCCTCTTCGTGCCCAAGACTATAAACTGAGCACCTTGACTGTCATCCAAACTCTTTCTCCATCTGCATCCTGCAGGAGCTCCACAAGCTGTTCAGTCAGGCTCCGCATCTTTTCAGTCTGTGCAGAACAGAAGTCTATGAAACGCCACCTTGCTGCTGCCACGGGGTCAAGAGGCCAAAGGTCTGTCCCAGAGCACTCAGGCAGCTGAAGCGGGAGGCAGGAGAGCTGGCAGCAGCTGCCTTTTTGCCCAAAGCCCAGCCAAACCCATGTGACTGCATTCCCCAGTGCAGCTTCTGCCACTGCCCACTTCTCACCACTGAGGGTTTGTCAGTAAGCTGAAGAAGGGCCCTGAGGGCCGGGTGACGCCTCTCCCTGCACTCGCTTCGCAGGTGCATTGGCAAGACCTCCAGGAGTCTGTTAGCACCTGGAAGCTCTCAGCAACGCAGGCAGCAACACACGGGAACGAGGACACAGATGGCGCTTCCTTGGCTTGGGACAGAGGTTGTGCCTTCAGCACAACCACCACAGGCCAAGAGCTTCTGGCCACTTTCCCTGCACCACTGCACGCCTGGGCAGCTTGCCGAGCACAAGCACCCTTTTCACCCTCTTCCCCTATGCCCTGTGCACCGTGCGCAGTAAAAGAAAAGTCTTGGGAGTCTGTGTATTGTAACACATCCTATATTTCTATACTACAGAGAAATGAAAAAAGGAAAATAACAATATTTAAGAAAAGCAAAATGCCTGCCAGCTCATGTGGCCCCAGCAGACAGATCCTGCCGGATCAGTTCCCGCCACAGCTGCAGCAGCATAGGCAGCTGAGGCTCGATAGACGAGGCCGTGCTCTCCATGCCCTGCGGAGCTCATCTCGCAGCCTCTGGAACACGGAGATCGGAGCGGGTTCTCCTGCCGTCAGCAGGTGAAATGTCTGGAGAGCAAGGCTTCTGATCTCCAGGCTGACGTCATTTATCATTTCTGCAAGGGCTGGAAG